AATAGAATTTACAAGAAATATAATCTGATACATAAAAATATTCGATTAACCATATAAATAGAGCTAATTTAATTTTCAACATTAGAGATTTGATCATGAACCTTTAATCTAAGAAGTTATTTGATGATTCATTCAAATCTTCAAACAATTCTTTGATAATTTTTTCAATCATATCTTTTAATCATTTGAATCAAACTTATATTTATTTAGATTATTAATTATTTTTCGTTATAGTTTAATGAATTGGGTTTTTACTTAAGCAAATCAGCAAAATATTTACATATTTTTTAATATATTTAATCATATCCATGTTTCTCCAAGAAATGAACAAAGCTTTCTTTAGCAGTCATTTTAGACATATGTGAGTAATCTAAGATGAAAGGAGTTTACAGAAAGTAATTTATTTTTAATTATTTATTAATTTTACTATTGATTCCTATCTATGAAGGATCAATAACATCATCTATTCTATTATAAAAAAATGAGATAATTAGATCTATAAATCTTTTTGATCGATAAATTTATTCAAATAGTTCATTTGATATTTGCAAGATGAATAAAAGGATTAAAAATTTTAATATAATGAATTAGGTTGATGGTGTTTTTACCAAAGTTCAAAGTTGGCCATATTTTTTAGCCAATTTTAATTTTTTCCATATTTTCTACATCTAGCCAATTCCAAAACAATCTCTTTTTTTTTGAACAATAAGATGATCTGTTCTCTTCTATTCCTCAAGTATTATGTTAAGGATTAAAATCTGTAAATATGCTTTTGCTTAAAACAGTATAAAATATTGTTTATTTATTATTTTAAAACATATTATATTTAAACTAAAATTACCTGCTTTATTAACATGTTGAGATAGATAAATTATCCATTGTCAATCAATATAAATTTTATATTTTATGATTTCAAAATTATTGTAATGAGTTTGTTCAATCTCCTTGATATTTCGTTTATGGATACTTATTTCTAAATCATTTTTTTAATCAATCTTTTATTTCTTTTATACTCTTAATTTAATTACAAAAAAGAAATACTTTCTATAAAAATATCTATTCTTATTTTTATTACCCTAATCATTAAATTAAATGATGAAGGATTATTTATATTTGATTATATATACCGATGAAAAAAATATCCATCAAATAAAGATATCTTGGGTAGAATATATTAAAACTCAGATAAACTTCATAGATTGAAAGTGTGATAGGGTCACAATATTGGCGCAGAACCTAAACAAAAATATAACTTCTAACATAAATATAAGAAATAGAATTAGCTTCTAAAATAAATAAGTAAAAAGAACTAATAGAGTAATAATGACAAAAGAGAGAAAATTTAGAAATATGATACTTCCCATTTAAGAAATGTCATTGAAAGAACATAATTTAAATTTAGAAGAGGTAAATTATGCCATCGATGAAGAGTTATATTGAATTAAGTTGTGTAGAATAATGAAGGTCAGAAATAAATAAAGGTAATCTAATGGATAATATTTTTATTCATTATTTTCATATAGGTTGAAATTAAAGAGAATTACCATAGCCAATTGTAACAAAGTTAAAAAATTTTGTGTCAATATAATAAATCAATTTGAGCTAAAAGTAAAGACATAAAGCTTTTTTTATTGTATTGAAATGAATAAGCATAAAAATATATTTTATTTAATTTTTCCTTGAATTCTTACCCAGTTATTGTTTTGTCTGTTCCCAATGATTTCTAATTAGATGATTAGAGTTTTGGAAGAAATAATGATTTCCATATTTTCTACTGCTATTAATCTAATTATTCATTCTATGTCGAACAACAAAAGAACTCTTTTTTAGATATTATTATCATATTGATGAGCAAACAAGATGAGAAGTGAAAATTACAAAAATAGAAACAGCTTTAGTATATTTTTAAAAATAGCAAAGAATTAATCCTAACAAATGTATATAATGTATTTATAATATTAAAATTATTGGCTTAATTCAAATCAAGAATTTCTCACTTGTCCTTTTTGCAAGAATAGTCGTTCTAAGAGTTCTTTAATTTATTTATATTCTAAGGATGAAACTATAACTAAGTATTTTCAAATAGATAAATTAGTAAACCACTGATCCTAACATTCCTCCAAGACCTAAACCATGTAAAAATCAGCATAGCCAATGGAGTAACTATTGCAGAATACGGATTAGTATATGCATCCAAAAATATTTGATGGTCTTTATAATACCTTTAATTATGATATTTGAGGTGCCAATAGTAATACTTAAGTATCTTTATATTCAATTGTATAATAATATCTAGAAGGATAATTCAAAAAAGTTAGTAGAAAATATCTAAGATAAAGGAAGATACATACATTCAATTTTGGTTATCTTATAAAAATTTTGATTAATTAATTCCCTCAAGGAATAATTTTTGAATATTATTTAGAAATATTTGTTTAGATGGTTTAACACTATAGGAAATTGTAAATAGATAATGCTTATTATTATTTTTTTAATAACTATTCTTTTTCGTTCATCATTCAATCAGCTTCCAAAATTTATCTACCTCTTTTTGTCATATTACTTTTAATCATTCTAAATTTTCAATATGACTTTATTATTCTTCAGTTTACTATTATTTGTAATATTAGTATTGTATAATTCTTTAATTATGACATTTAATAAACACTTTAATTAAATTATCTTCTTAATTCTATTTTCTTATTCACATACTAAGAGATATTTAAATCCTAGTTAATTTTTTAATTTAAAATATCAAAATTCTTACATTCTGTTAATTCAATTAAATGATGAATAGAATCAAACATAAAATTAATTTGAAATTCTTTCTTTCTGAATGATAGAATAATCTAAGATAAATTAAGAATTAAAATCATTTATTTATAATAATAGGGTTATTAATTTCTACACTTGATTTGAAAAAAAAATTAATATATTAATAATCTCTATTAAGCAAATTATGATTTAATTTAATGAACATTATATTATTTTGAATTTAAAAGAAATATCTTTTTATTAGTTGCTCACATTAATACAACAGAATAATTATAAGGGATATTGCCGATAATCAATAGTTTGATGTAATTCAAAATTTAATATCTTTTCATTTTAGTTTCTCCTTTAGAATATTAAATATAATATACAACAATAAATATGTAAGCATCCCCTCATAAAAAAGAAGAATTTAATATTAATATCAATTTGACTTTTGTTAAACTTTATGAACAAATTTAGGCTAAAACTATAATTAAATAATATTTAATGGTTTTTTAATCTTATTTTGGATAAATTTGCGAAAAAATATCTTTGATGAAATTAGTATTATTTTTTATTTTATTAGTCTTTTTCACCAAATCTAAAACAAATAATATATATGGATTAAAGTAATATCTGGAATAATAAAACTGTTTGGCAGATGTAGATCGTTAATGTGATAAAAATTGATATTTCATAAAATATTAATTAATTAAGTAGTAGTATTCCTATTGTGAAATACACAGTTAAGTTTACTGGACTGGGATGGGATGGGATGCCAAAATAGATAAGAATGTTGTTCAAAGAATATGTTATGGTTTTATAGGATGATAGTTAAAACAAACTAATGCATGTTGCACTACTTTAGGAAGTTCCTATGCTAATCATAGTTTTTGGAATATTTACTTTATGGCTAATGCTAGAAATAAGTTATCAAAACATTGTTCTATTTCTCCAGATAGATATATATCTGGATGATTTTTGATCAGAAAATAAAATAAGGTTAAACGATGCGTTTATTATGGATATGAGGTAAGTTAAAAATGGCATTGGTTAATTATAAATAAAACATTTGTTATGAGAAATTATAAAACCATTCCTGTATCTCTTAATTATGATACTGAATTTGAGTAGCTTGTATCGAAGGTTTATCTATTTGAACACTTCAACATGTCTATGAATTTCTGAAGCAAAATCTAGAAATGAAGTTTGTTTCCAATTTATTTCGTGCAAGAGTAAAATTTGTAAATCTCATTAAGAATCTCGCTGTTTCAAACATATTTGACTATTTCTTTATGCTCAGAAACAAAAATAAAGTTTATTGAAAATTGAAGCAAGCCCCTTTTTGTAGAATCTATAAACTTAATCTATTGATTCAGTATATAAGACTCATATACAGATTGTAAGCAACAATGTTTACTATTCATGATTTTAACATCATGGAATTGAAATTGTATGTGGCACTTTAGATATACAATTTATTATATATAATATTCAAATAAAAATTAAAGATTTAATACAATAAATTTATTTAACAGAGAATCATTCAAATAGAAAAAGATATTAAAGATATATAAATTTTTTTGAAATATATTTTTTGTTGGTTGAAAGTGAAGATTTAATATACTTTTATTATAAAAAACACTGAATGATAATTAAAAGCAAACATAATAAGAAACATTATAAGCTTAGCGTTATTTTAATTATATCAATAAATTATAGGACATTTTCCATTTTCTAATTTTTTGAAAGCATTAATACCTTCAATTATCGAATGAGGTGGGATAACGATTATGTTATTGAACTCATATTTATCTTTTCATAATGAAAATCCTATCAATTGAATCTTAATTGAAGAACATCAAAAATTTGAGCTTCAATTGTGATATTAAGATGCCATGAAAATTCTGAATCATTTAGAGTAGTAAATTGTAAGATATTTTTTATGCATTATTTAGTTTTCTATAATAATTTAATAATCTAAAGTTCCTATTTATTTCTGTATGCAAATGCTGAGGAAGTATTATTTGATGTCCTTCTTATAATAGTTTAAATTTCTAGGATATATATTCTAATTATATTAAAATTATTCAATTAACTGATTGTAAAATCCTCCTAAGATCTTAATTAGTCAATACTTTTGCAGAAATTTAAGAAAATTTATCTTGATATCTTAATATTAGATTTAAAATAACTAAGCTTATAGTAAATATAATAGGGAATACTAAAGAAGAATATAATTAGGATGTCCAAAATTCAGAGAATTAGAAAAGAACTAAAAATCATAAAAATTTATTAAAATTTTGCATTCTGATCTGACCAATATTCTCACCAAAATATGAAGGATAAAGGAGAATAAAGATCTGATAAATACATTTACTATTGAATAGAGAATGAATCTACAGTTTACAGAATATAATTTAATTTTGCCACATTGTAATGAAATGAAAAATAAGGAATTTAAATAGAATTTACAAGAAATATAATCTGATACATAAAAATATTCGATTAACCATATAAATAGAGCTAATTTAATTTTCAACATTAGAGATTTGATCATGAACCTTTAATCTAAGAAGTTATTTGATGATTCATTCAAATCTTCAAACAATTCTTTCTTTTAATCATTTGAATCAAACTTATATTTATTTAGATTATTAATTATTTTTAGTTATAGTTTAATGAATTGGGTTTTTACTTAAGCCAATCAGTAAAATATTTACATATTTTTTAATATATTTAATCATATCCATGTTTCTCCAAGAAATGAACAAAGCTTTCTTTAGCAGTCATTTTAGACATATGTGAGTAATCTAAGATGAAAAGAGTTTACAGAAAGTAATTTATTTTTAATTATTTATTAATTTTACTATTGATTCCTATCTATGAAGGATCAATAACATCATCTATTCTATTATAAAAAAATGAGATAATTAGATCTATAAATCTTTTTGATCGATAAATTTATTCAAATAGTTCATTTGATATTTGCAAGATGAATAAAAGGATTAAAAATTTTAATATAATGAATTAGGTTGATGGTGTTTTTACCAAAGTTCAAAGTTGGCCATATTTTTTAGCCAATTTTAATTTTTTCCATATTTTCTACATCTAACCAATTCCAAAACAATCTCTTTTTTTTTGAACAATAAGATGATCTGTTCTCTTCTATTCCTCAAGTATTATGTTAAGGATTAAAATCTGTAAATATGCTTTTGCTTAAAACAGTATAAAATATTGTTTATTTATTATTTTAAAACATATTATATTTAAACTAAAATTACCTGCTTTATTAACATGTTGAGATAGATAAATTATCCATTGTCAATCAATATAAATTTTATATTTTATGATTTCAAAATTATTGTAATGAGTTTGTTCAATCTCCTTGATATTTCGTTTATGGATACTTAGTTTAATTTATTTTTCTAAATCATTTTTTTAATCAATCTTTTATTTCTTTTATACTCTTAATTTAATTACAAAAAAGAAATACTTTCTATAAAAATATCTATTCTTATTTTTATTACCCTAATCATTAAATTAAATGATGAAGGATTATTTATATTTGATTATATATACCGATGAAAAAAATATCCATCAAATAAAGATATCTTGGGTAGAATATATTAAAACTCAGATAAACTTCATAGATTGAAAGTGTGATAGGGTCACAATATTGGCGCAGAACCTAAACAAAAATATAACTTCTAACATAAATATAAGAAATAGAATTAGCTTCTAAAATAAATAAGTAAAAAGAACTAATAGAGTAATAATGACAAAAGAGAGAAAATTTAGAAATATGATACTTCCCATTTAAGAAATGTCATTGAAAGAACATAATTTAAATTTAGAAGAGGTAAATTATGCCATCGATGAAGAGTTATATTGAATTAAGTTGTGTAGAATAATGAAGGTCAGAAATAAATAAAGGTAATCTAATGGATAATATTTTTATTCATTATTTTCATATAGGTTGAAATTAAAGAGAATTACCATAGCCAATTGTAACAAAGTTAAAAAATTTTGTGTCAATATAATAAATCAATTTGAGCTAAAAGTAAAGACATAAAGCTTTTTTTATTGTATTGAAATGAATAAGCATAAAAATATATTTTATTTAATTTTTCCTTGAATTCTTACCCAGTTATTGTTTTGTCTGTTCCCAATGATTTCTAATTAGATGATTAGAGTTTTGGAAGAAATAATGATTTCCATATTTTCTACTGCTATTAATCTAATTATTCATTCTATGTCGAACAACAATTCAAATTGGTTATGTAAATGAAAAAGTTTAATGATCGAAATCTCCAATTTCGATTAACTTTTTTTCATAAAAAATAAGATAGGAGATAATATAAATAATTAAAAATCTATAAAATAAGAACAATTAAAAACTTTTAGATAAAAAGTCAATCCATATTTACCTTTTGAAAAATCTTATAAAAAT